TATGCTTTGGGTCATTGTCCATCTGCACTGTGAAGCGCCGTCCAATGAGTTCTGAGGAATTTGGCTGAATATGAGCAGATAATATTGCCCGAAACACTTCAGAATTCATCGTGCTGCTTTTGTCAGCAGTCACATCATCAATAAATACAAGAGAACCAGTTCCACTGGCAGCCATACATGCCCACGCCATGACACTTCCAGCACCATGCTTCACTGATGAGGTGGTATGCTTAGGATCATGAGCAGTTCCTTTCCGTCTCCATACTCTTCTCTTCCCATCACTCTGGTACAAGTTGATCTTGGTCTCATCTGTCCATAGGATGTTGTTCCAGAACTGTGAAGGCTTTTTTAGATGTTGTTTGGCAAACTATAATCTGGCCTTCCTGTTTTTGGGGCTCACCAATGGTTTACATCTTGTGGTGAACCCTCTGTATTCACACTGGTGGAGTCTTCTCTTGATTGTTGACTTTGACACAGATACACCTACCTCCTGGAGAGTGTTCTTGATCTGGCCAACTGTTGTGAAGGGTGTTTTCTTCACCAGGGAAAGGATTCTTCGGTCATCCACCACAGTTTTTTTCCGTGGTCTTCCGGGTCTTTTGGTGTTGCTGAGCTCACCGGTGCGTTCCTTCTTTTTGAGAATGTTCCAAACTGTTGTTTTGGCCACGCCTAATGTTTTTGCTATCTCTCTGATAGGTTTCTTTTGTTTTTTCAGCCTAATGATGGCTTGCTTCACTGATAGTGACAGCTCTTTGGATCTCATCTTGACAGTTGACAGCAACAGATTCCAAATGCAAATAGCACACTTGAAATGAACTCTGGACCTTTTATCTGCTCATTGTAATTGGGATAATGAGGGAATAACACACACCTGGCCATGGAACAGCTGAGAAGCCAATTGTCCCATTACTTTTGGTCCCTTAACAAGTGGGGGGCACATATGCAAACTGTTGTAATTTCTACACCGTTCGCCTGATTTGGATGTAAATACCCTCAAATAAAAGCTGACAGTCTGCAGTTGAAGCACATCTTGTTCGTTTCATTTGATATCCATTGTGGTGGTGTATAGAGCCAAAAATGTTAGCATTGTGTCGATGTCCCAATATTTATGGACCTGACTGTATATCATTTTATTATACAAAATTACATTATTTTAGCTGTTTATATCTTAACAACTGAATATGTCAGTGTATTTTTTAAACAATATATATACACTGTCAACTTGCCATCTGCAATTATTGTTAAAAACAAAACAAATGTTGATTTACATAAAATGCTGTACTTTGCATACTCAAATGCTGTTATTAATTTTTTTCTGAAAGAGACAACTTTCTGTTCTTATGTTCTAACTCAGCATGAGTGAGTTCATTCAAAAAAGAAATCCCCCATGCACTCCTCAACAAGCAGCCACTATAACAGATGCCATCCTGAGTATGTTGGTAACTGACATGCGGCCAAAGTCAATGGTGGAAGACGAAGGATTTAAAAAAATGATTGGCATCCTTAATCCAGGATACATACTTCCATCAAGGACCCACTTCACAAAATTAATGGAGAGAAAGTACCAGGAGGCATTTGAAAAAGTTAAGTCTGCTTTGAACATCACCAACAGCAGAATGGCTTTAACTGCTGATATATGGACAAGTGTTGCCACTGAAGCATACCTTGGCATTACATGCCATTACATTGGAAATGACTGGAAGATGACATCTGTCTGCCTTACCACCTTGCCACTGGAAGACAGACATACCGCAAACAACATTGTAGAAGGGCTGGAAGAAGTAGTAGTCAAATTTCAAATCCCTTTTGAGAAAATTACTGCCCTTGTACATGACAATGGTGCAAACATTGTGGCTGCTGCAAAACTACTGGAGGAGAAACATGGGTGGACCAGTATACGCTGCACTGGCCACACATTGCAGTTGGTGATTAATGCTGCTTTAAAAGGACAAAAACATTGAAAGAGCTGTTGGAGCTGCAAGATGTCTGGTAGAACACTTAAAAAAAAAAAAGTGAGCTAGCCTGCAGTAAGCTCAAAGAAAAACAGAAACAAATGGACACACCTGAGCACAAGCTTGTTCAGGATGTAAGTACCAGATGGAACAGTACATTCTACATGATTGACAGACTGATTGAACAGAGGTGGCCTTTAACTGCTACTCTGTCTGACCCATTGATCACTTACAGAGGCAAACGCTATCTGGATTTGAAACCAGACCAGTAGAGTCTGCTCGAAGAGCTTTCCACTGCTCTTAAGCCTTTCGAATGTGCAACTGTTTTTATGAGCGGGCAGGAATATATAACAGTCTCCGCATTGCCTCCAATTGTGAAAGGGCTGTTAAAGTCTACTGAAGGTGCTACCTTTGATTCAGGTCCAGTGAAGTCCTTCCAAGCCAAAGCAGTTGAGCAGCTTCAAATCAGATGGAACCAGCTCTTTGAGCAGGCAGATAATCTTGTGATTCTCTCCTCTGCTCTGGACCCAAGGTTCAGAAGACTGAAATTTCTGTCACCTGAGCAAATTATAACCGTGAAGCTAAAGTGCAAACTGAAGCACTCACAGCAAAAAAGGAGATGGAACAGCAGCAGCAGCAAACAACCACCTCAGCCAGAAGAACAGAAGCTAAACCCTCAACATCTTTGTTTGACTCACTCCTTGAGTCTGGAGGCAGCAGTGAGGAAGAGAGCAGAGGGGAGAAAGCTGAGGAGGACCTCAACACTCAAATAAGGAATGAAGTCCTGGCCTACTTTGTTGAGAGGCCCCTTGCCAAGGATGAAAATCCTTTGGATTGGTGGGGACATAATAAAGAGAAATACCCCACCTTGGCCAAATTAGCCAAATCCTACTTATGTATCCCGGGCACCTCAACACCATCTGAGCGTCTGTTCTCTGCTGCAGGTTGTATAGCTTCCAAAAAAAGAGCCAGCCTCAACCCAGATCATGTGGACATGCTGACATTTTTGCATTCCAATTCAAAATTTTGGAATCAGTGAATAAGAAATGTTCATATGCAAAACTTTGAGCAGCGAGTTTCTGTTCTACCTCTGTATCAAAAAGTAATATTTTCTTTATTCCAATTAAACATTTTGTAGAAGTGAATAAGAAATATTTATATGCAGCACTTTGAGCAGTGAAAGTTGACCTGTTCTTCTGATTTCTACCTCTGTTTCAAAAAGTAATATATATATTTTTTTATTTAATATTTTGATATTTCATCAAATTCTGCTGCTTAATATGATTTTCAGCATGTTTTTGTCCTAATTTCATAATGTGAATATAATAAGAGTACAACAATTGTTTTGCTTTTTATTTATTTATTTATTTATTTATATTTTGGATATTTAGAGAAGTTTTACTGTTCAAAAACAAACTTTGTCTTTCATTTAAGGTTTAAAATGTAAAAATTAAAGATCATTAAACTCTATATGTGGCTTTTGCATTTTTTTAAAGTTTACTTTTATACATACATAATACCCTGATTTATGGTTTTATAATGTTATAAGCAAAACATCAAATTAAAGAAGAGTTTAGTTTTTATCCGATTAATCGAAAAAAATATCGCCCAACTAATCGATAATCAAAATAATCGTTAGTTGCAGCCCTAAGTGAAACACAAGCTTCTTTATGCAACTGTAAAAATTTATGTAACTGTAAAAACATAAATGTTAAGGGCAATGATAAGTTAAAAACTAAGCTTGGTAACATACCTATAGTATTTAATTCACCAATGCTAGACACTATAGCAGCAGGTTGCAAATGTTTATTTCAAGTCTTTTACCTTGAATTTAGCAAAGAGTAAGGGGTGGTTCTCCCATAGATGTGAGATCATATTTATTTGTGGGTCCCCTCCTTCAGGCATCGCACTCAGTTTACTGAATGCTGGCGTTAAACAGAGGGGGAGTGGGGAAGGGGGCGTGTTGAACTAGTCTTCACACCACATGGGGGATACCGTCACTTTCAATCTTTTAATGGTTATGAAACCGTGGCTTTATTAAACCGCGGTATGCCAGTATAGCGGTAACCAGCCCATGCCTACATTCAGCACTAATTATGTTCATTTTACAGAAGGCACTCGTCTCGGATCATTACCTATGTAAGCAAAACATGCTAAAATATGTAATTCTACAGACAGATAAAATCTAAAATCTTAAATCGTAAATTATTCTTAGGCACTACCTACGACAGACCACAATGCAAGGTGTCGATGGCAGCTTGGTGATGTCAATATCCCTTGCAGTGGCAGTGTCATCAATATTCAAGCACATCTTGTCCTGCTGGTCTTTGAAATGATCAATTAGCATCAGCACAGCCGCACAGGTTACATCACCTCCATCCAGAGTCTGATTTAGAATACTGCCTGCTCTGCTGGAAGGTTCAGTATGGACAAATTGGAAGTAGCGTAGGATTCTCTTGAATTTGTTTGCCGCAGACTCATCAAACTGGTCATCCATCTGAACACCTGTCAGCTGACTGAAATGAAGCCTCATTCCAGTTTCCATGAAGAGTAAAGGCCACTCTTTCACAATATCTTGTGTCCTTCAGTGCTGACAACACATCTCTTCTTTGTGAGGGAAATGTCTCTAAAAGCAATCGCTCAATTTTCTTTGAATCTTTGTCCTTGTTTTTGTATATATTCAAAAGTTGTTCTTGTTTTTCCTTCTGCAATTGTCTCGTCTCACCTACCGGAAACTCTGGATCTGGGTTAACACAGCCATATGCATCCTTGCACTCCTTCTTTGCACTGCTAGGACCGCCAACTTCCACAAGCCTTTTATTGCCAGGACGAGGTTGGAGCCTTTTATGATTAAGCTGTTTCAAAAGTGAGTCATAGCCGGTGCCAACAATTTGGCCTTCTTTCTCATCTCCAAATGACCTTGGATACCGAATTACCATCTTCCTTGCTATTTCAGTGATGTGCCTCTTTCCTGGCTTGTTGAACACAGTCAGGATTTCAGCCGCCACAATCCTGATGATCTCCCTTCTCTCTGTGGCAGATGGCCTCTTGTCCATTTCCAAGAACTTTCTGGTACCAGAGGGCAACTTATTCCAAGGTATGTCAAAGCAGTAATGCCAGCTATTATTGCCACTTGCTGGTGATGCAGTGGGTAAGGCTTGATCTCTCATGACTAGACTCAAACCTGAGCTCCTCGTGGCAGTGTTTTTTGGCATGAAATGGCCACCAACGACAGACTCATCAATGTCACTAATGAATGACTCTTCGCCAGTGCTGAAATCTTCAACCTGACCACTGTGCTCATCTCTTGAAGTGAATCTAAATAAGCACAAATGCAAATAAACACCTAATTTAGGTGCAGGCATACCAATGAAGGTCAGCAGAATATCTGCTTTAAATGAACAAACAAGCCACATAACTAGAACGAATCAAAAAGATAACACAAATATCACACATGGTACTTAGAACTGCACATTTTCACACTGTATATTGTTGCTGCTCACAGCTATTGTTTTACTTACGTTTAATACAAGCCATGACCTTTCTTAGGTCTACTGGCTTCAGAACTTGTGAAAGGTCATCTGCACCCACATACATCAGGTCTGCAGTTGAACTTACTCCAAGGTCTTTTATCACCTCTACCACTCGCTGTATAGCATCCTCTTTGCTGAACACAGCACTGAGTGATGAGGTTAGGTCACTAACCCATTCATCCATAACTGCAAGAGGAGGGGAAAAGATGAATAATTTTTTAGTGGCTATTAGAATGTGAACTACACAGTAGAGCCCTGCATTGGGAGCGGGATCCTGCGGGTCCCGCGGGACCCAACGCAAATCTCACGGGATTGGGAGGGTTTTAGATTGTCGTGGGCGGGAGCAGGCGGGAGTGACAGAGATAGCGGGCGGGATAAAAATAGACAGCGGGTCCCAAAATTGTTAGCTTAGCAGGATGGAGGATGCAGCTGATGTTGTTAATAAAATTGCAAAGGGAGAATATAAAACAAAACTAAAATTGGGGAAATCGGAGATATGGAAAAACTTTAAAATTGTAACAAACAAAGAGGGTAAAGAGCTGAACTTTGTGTGTTGTGTGAAGTGCGGCAAAGCGATAGTGTACAACGGGCACAAATCTGGCACTTCAGGATTGAGGCGACACACCTGCCCCGTTGCTGTACTCCCAGGTAGAGCCCTGCATTGGGAGCGGGATCCCGCGGGACCCAAAGCAAATCTCACGGGATTGGGCGGGTTTTAGATTGTCGTGGGCGGGAGCGGGCGGGAGTGACAGAGACAGCGGGCGGGATTGGGCGGGAATCGTCAGAAATTCAGCGGGAGTGGGCGGTAATGGTCAGAAATTCAGCGGGAGTGGGCGGGAGCGGGATTAAAAAAATAGTCCCGCGCAGGGCTCTACTACACAGTACACCACAATTACCATATGTTGCCTAATTTGAAGATTTTATCATTGTCCTTTAGGGAGCAATAAAAGTATAAACAGTTTTTCTTATGGTTAATTCGATGGAAAAATTTAAGGTTTTGTAAGGGTTTCATACATGGGGGCTCATTATTCAGATTTTTACTGCATTTAGTCAAAAATATACATCGAAATTCAACTAGTACTAAAAGTAATTCAGAACCTTAGAAATGATCAACAACACTGTGTTTCAGAGAAATGACTGTAAGTCCATTCAGACTATACAGAAGCAATGGGTAAAAATCAAGGAGGTGTTCTGCATTTACACAGTGCATATCACCACCTGTTCATAGTCCATACTCTGACAAATACAATGATGTGTGTGGAGTAACCAGAAAGCACACCACCTTGTCATGTTTAACCAAAATCAGTTCAATCTCACCAAACTTGATCGTGTCATGAGACTCGCGTCTTAGGCAGAGAAAAGAGCCCTTTTTGTAAATTTACCTCAGTGGATACAGACACAGAATCTGGTTCAGGACACATGTTCTTCAACTGCATTGCGCACAACATCACTGTACAAGTGGGCATGAAATGGAGTTGAGTTTTTTTAACTCAGCACTACTGCAAAAAAAGAACAGATATTTCTAAGGTTTTCTATCCTCCTCACACACCTTTTGAAATAGGAGTGTTTACTTTCAAATCTCATTGTCCATAGATGTATTAAGGGGCCCAGTTTCAGGAACAATGATGCATAATGGAGAAGATAGTGGTGTTTGGGTTTTAGATGATGTAAGGGAAATAATGCTTTCCTTGTTTCTAGGTATTCAATTACAACAACGTTGAGGTAAGCAACCTGGGCCGTGGTGATAGTGGGTGCACACACTAGTTCCACAAGTTCTTTCAAAGTGATTACTTGTTGCCACACTGGGTCAAGAGGATCAACTCTGTCACCAATGATGACAGGAAGGAGTCTAAGGAGACACCAGTTCTCAGCTGCTTGGCCACCTACTGTATTTGCCTTTTCCTTAACCGGAGAAGGAGATGAAAGAGAATCTGAGTCTTTGTAGGAAAATTGTTCGATTCGTCTGTTCAGCTGAGAGTATGTGAACCAATGCTTGACCTTTACACATTATCGCAGGTAAATGGCTAAGTCATAAGCTACAACTCCCTCAAACAAGTCATGCCCTATGCATGGAGGAAGCCCTGGCTGGCAAACATGGTAATATTTCAAAGAGTTAAAGACCGAGTCACAACATATTCTTTTGAAATCATTGATCTCACCCTCCTGCAGTAACTGTATGGCCTCTTTATAGGCATCAACTGTACGTACAGGGAAACTCTCACTCACATTCTCAAGTTGATCTCTTGGTACCTCACAATACCTACAGAAGTACTTGGACATGCTGAAATTCTGTGAGTAGCCGCCAATACAGTGTGACCCCAGATTGTCCCCTACAACCGATATTATTGTTGCTCGAACCACATGACCAATAGTGGTCACAAGACCATGTTCTTCAAGCGGTCTCAGGTCTGACAAGATTCTAGAAAAAACTGTGTTCTGGCCAAAATACTTGAAAT